TAATACCCCTTACAGTTCCATAAGATTCGTTCTTAAGCAGTAAGTTTCACTAAGCATGCTTAGGACTAGATATAAACTACTCTCATGTTGTTATAACAAATCAGTTTATCAATAAAAGTACCAGGCTTTTAAAAACATTACACAGCATTCTATTCTTCTGCTTATTCTACTTCTCCAGTTTAAACTCATTCTGGTACACAAGTAATCAATAAAATAATTATAATCTATTGTGGGAAAATTGGAACACTAATATAGTTTTGGTGGAGTTGTGAACTGATCCAACCATTTTGGAGAACAATTTAGAACTATGCCAAAAGGGCTAATAAAGTGTGTATAGCCTTTGATTCAGCAATACCACTTCTAGGGCTATAACCCAAAGAGCTCACAAAAATGGGGAAAAGACCCACATGTACAAAAATATTTACAGCATCTCTTTCTGTGGTGGCAAAGTATGCGAAATGGAGGGAATGCCCATCAGTTGGGGAATGACTGAACCAGTTGTGGTATATGAATGTAATGGAATATTATTTGTGCTGTAAGAAATGATGACCAGGCAGACTTCAGAAAAACCTGGAAAGACTTGTATGGACTGATTCTGAGTGAAATGAGCAGAACCAGGAGAATGTTGTACACAGTGACAGTCACCTTGTGTAATGATTAACTTTGATAAACTTAGGTCTTCTCAGAAATGCAAGGATCTAAGACATCTCCAAAAGTCTCATGATGGAAAATACTATCCACATCCAAAGAAAGAACTATGGGGTTTGAATGCAGATCGAAACATACTATTTGCTCTTTTTTTTTCTTCTGTTTTGTTTGTTTCTTCTTTCTTGTGATTTCTCCTATTGGTTCTAAGTCTCCTTTACAACATGACTAATGTGAAAATATGTTTAATAAGAATGTATAAGTAGAGCCTATATCAGATTGCATGCTGTCTTGGGGAGGGGGGAAGGAAATGAAGAAGAGAAAATTTAAAACTCAGAAGCTTATGAAAGTGAATGTTAAAAACTAAAATTAATTCCAAATTTTAAAAAATAATTATAATCTGTAATTTCACACAGACAATGAACATGGGAGAGTTAACTCAAACAATGTTATCTCAGAAGAAACTGACAGTTATTTGCAAACTAACAGATGATCCTCTCTTAAAACATATTAACCCCTATAGCAAAATAAAATCTCTAAGACTGGGGCCTGGTATATGACTAAATTGGTTAAAAATATAACTTCAGCACAGACCAATCCTGATATAACTTCACAAAACAAATTCCTAATTGTGCCCCAATCCGCCCATCAAAGAGTGTTTATAATAGTGGAGGTGATTCAGTTTTCTAAGTGAAGCAACACAAATTCTTTCACAGAGCTGACCCTGCTCAGGCAGATGACCTGGCTGATTTACAAACAAGGTCTTTCCCCCTCTCACATTCTCTTATTCATAAACTAAGCAAATATTAGTCTTCCCTTTTAAAAATATACCTGATTTACAATAACCCTTCTTTAACAGCTGAACAGATGTAGGTGGAACTTCTTTTGGAAAGTGAGGTCACTGAACACTTGGCTGCCATGAGTCAGTTATCCCTGTGGTAACTTTTCTGACACCTCTTGCTTAAAACCCCAAAGATCAGTGGGTGAAATTGGTGAATTCTGCTCCATGATGATGGAAGAGCAGACATGGAAAGATCTCATAGCTCAACTTTTGAGCATTACATAACTTATATCATATCACCAATGGAGCTGAAACAAACTTATAACCATGTCAAATAACAAGTCTCACACATCTTACCAGATAAAATAATGAAAAGATTTTTGAATACATTCAACAAAAATATTTAGCAGCTTTGAGACAACTTTTCAACAACTGAGTTTATATATAAATTACAAGAGAAGCTATTCTAACTGTCAGTGTTACCAAATTTTACACAATAAGCATGTAACTAATCTTTACATCAGGAGTAGTAGGAAATACATATAAAGCTTTACCAATTGAGTACTACAAAAGTTTCTTACAAACTGTCCTGAAAGGTGTGCAGGTAGGCCTACTGGATGACTAAGAAGTCAAAGCTTCAGAATCTTTTCTTTTTATGACTTCTTGTTCTCAACTAAACTAAAATGAAAGCATTACAACAACATTCTTTTAATAATTTAATTTATAATCCAAAAGAATACTGATCTAAAAAGAATTTGCCATTTTACCAATAGTTCTAATGCAATGAATTATCAAATCAATGTGAGGTATTATGTTTATCCATATTACATGTTAGTAAACTCAGGTAACTTGATTTAGGATCACACAAATAATAAATTTCCAGATCTATATTTTTTTAATGCTTTGTCTTAATGCCAAATAGTACAATAAATTCTGACTTATCAAAAGCATCTTATTAGGCAAGACATATAACTACGCCTGGTTCTATATTCCCAAGTGGCATCAAAGAGTGTGTAAGCAGTAATTTCAATTATTCAGCATTATTTTTTCCAAGGCCTAATTATTTCAAGCACTTCATAAGCTCTACAATTTTTAGCTAAAGTAAGGTTAAAAATTTAAGGTGGCAATCCTTCATTTTAGGCTCTAGGAAGTACCCTTAAGGCCATATTCTACATTAGATTCAGGATATATTTTGACTAAATAAAATCTGGGTTTATAATCATAATAGTAACATTTAAACTTCAAGTTATCTAAGGCTCATCTACTGCTAGCATTTAAAAAAGAGAGCCCATTATTACCAATAAACTCATTTTTAAAGACATGTGATAACTCCCAGCTCTATTTTTCCCCCATTTCCTCAAAAAAACTGGATCACTTCTTAGCTTCTAGCCTTATTTACCTATCCAGAGACTTTCCAGATCAGGATAAGCAGCAGCTTCCCATTCCTATTCCTCAGCTTTGCAGCCTGGGAATTCTAAGATCCATATCACAAAGAATAACCACATAAAATTTCCCATATTCTCATCTGAATGAGATCAAAACCTTTTTTCACTTCTCTTTCCAAATCTCCAAAACCCTTTACTCAGACTATACAATTTAACTTTCTTCTCATTTCCCTTTTCTCTCTAACTTCCTTAACTATCTCCTACTTTCTTTTAAATTTAGCTAAAAAATCAAAAAAACACCTGCACCTATTTTGTTCCTTTCACATCCTGATTGGAAACATCCCTTACCAAACACATTCCAGATTATCTCTAGAACTAATCCTTACTCCACTGATTTCTAATATTTCTCTTATCTGTTTTTCTCCTCTGCCTCTCCAACTTTGGCCACAGTCAGAAAAGGGAAAGGAGAGAGACTGTCCTTTTTTATTTTTAAAAGTGTTGAAAATTCTACTCCAGGCTTCCCCAAAATCCCTAGTCATCTTTCCTTCATCCTCATTATGAATATCAATCCCCACTGTCCACAACCAGTCTGGGCTCAGGCAATGGTGGGGGTGGGGTAGGTGGGCCAAGGTGGCTGAGGGGTTAAGTTGCTTGATCCTTGATTCGAATAACACTTTTCTCTTTTCCATGAGTTAACACTTAAAACTCTGGTGGCCAAGAAGCCAGACAGTTCCCCAAATTCAAATTAAACAATCTCAAACTTTAATTTTGGAGTTTAATTAAATCTGAATATACAATTTCTAATATTCAAGATCAATTCCCAATGAAAGCCTTAGTTAGTTAGAAACAAATTACTTAAAAGCAGGTAAAAATCAAGCTGTAGTCATTTTCTAACTGCCTCCCTGTGTAAATTGCCATTCTGACAATTCTGTTTTGTGTGGCAGAGACATTTGCATAGCTCAATGAGCAACATTATCAAAACAAGGGGGCTTAATCAAATTAGTTTGTTGGGAAGGGAAAAGGGAGCACCTGGAGAAAAATCCATCTCAAACTGCTTTTTACTCATGGACACACACACACACACACACACACACACACACACCCCACATACAACACAAGTGGCACTCCACAAAGACAGACACAAATATAGAACATATGCCTGACAGCCATCCTTTTGGAAGGAATTGTCAGAATGGCAACATATAGTCCACATTTACAAACCCAGCAACTGTCCCCTTCCAGAAGGACCTGTCAGAATGGACCCAAAATTGCCCATGGATTTTTTAACAAACCCCTGGTTAAGGGAGCCAAGATCTTGACCAAAGAGAGGTGGGAGGTGAGGAAATTAGAGAGACTCACTTATCCAGGCCAAACTGCTGACTCAGATCTGGACTGGAATACAAGAGGGCCCTACTGGTACTGAGCACCCGAGGTTGAAAGCAGTATTTGGCCCAGTAGGAGTCTTTGAATCCCACTTCTGACACCACATATGTCAATGTGAGTTAAAGAAGACTGCCGAAACAGTAAAAACAAAACAAACAAACAAAAAGAAACCCCCCCCCCCACACACACACTAGGGTCTTTTAACTGAGGTAAGGGCTTTTCGATGTGGGGCCATCGTGCAGGACCAGAATACTGGAGTGCCTGAAGGGCCACAGAAGGGGAGCAGGGTTAAATACATTTCAACAGAGAAGGGGTCTCCTGGGAGGTACAGCCTCAAGAAGCAGTTATCTAAGTTATTTTGCATAACAACTGAAAGTCCATAGGGAATGGTTACACCGGATCTCTTCTTTTTTTAAAGTTGGTTTCAATAGTTCTCTTTTAACTGGTTTCTATTGTCCTTAGGCAATTAGCAGCCCTGGGATCAGGCAAAGTCAGATGCATTCAACAGTGCTGAATAAATGCCTATTGACTAATTGACTATATGTCTAGGAATGGCATTGCTAGATCAAAGGATCCAGCACTTTTCCTACTATAACACACTTCCTGTCTAAAATGAAGACATTGGATTTTTAAGATTTCTAAGATCATTATAATGGCTTATTTGGAATTAAATAAGAAAGACACAATTCAAGCTCACAGGAAATGTCTCAATTAGTAACTTATTCAATAAGTTTATTTATCTTAAAATAAAGGATTTGGGGAAGCCACATCAATTTATGGTAGCTTTTCTGTTCTCTTTTGTCTAGGTGTTAGGCAACTTGACCAGTGCTGATCTGAATGGCTCCTGAATCTTGGGAATTAGTTGGTTTTATCCTCAGGAAGATAAAGACAGCCCGCACCCTTTATAACACTTGGGTAAGCAAACCTTAATTTCCTTTGAATGCACCTACCATTAGTAAGCTAGGTAAGGATGTACACTGGGGTTGCCATTCAGGAGTTACCTTCTGGATTTATCATCAGTCATTCTAGCTATTTCTGTGTACCTAACCCTAGTCATACTTCTTGAGGAAGAGGCCTAGACTAAACAGGATGGCTCAGTCACTATTAGTTATAAAGTTCTAAGATCTAGTAATTATGGTTGTAGCAGGCATAGCTGTGATATGTGCCAAACCTGCCAGGTTAGGGGTATGCTCCCTACATGTAATGAGGATTTATATCATTAGCATTATATATTGCTGTGGAAGGGTCACCCCACTTGTAACAATGAATACCCACACATAGCAACATGGGGGAGGGGATAGAAGAACCCCAAAGAGCCCATATAAGGAACTCCTCTCCTTTTTCCACTCCTTTGTCCTGGGTGGCTGGCTCACAAATAACAGTAATTTAGGGAATGATAGCTTCAGGCTACAAATCTGTCTGTGCTTTTATTTCTCCTGTGATAGCCTTGGGCTGATTTAGAGAACAGTCACAGGCAGCTGCACAAAGGTTTGTGACTTCGAAGCAGAGTACTTTATTCACCTGCTGCTCCTATGCTTCCCACTGAGGGGGAGGGGAAACTAGAAGCCTTCTCTTATTCCAGGCTCATTTTCTTCTAATTCCATTGCCTAAATAACATCACACAAACCAAATTTAGTTTACTAAGGTTTTTGTTTGTTTGTTTGTTTTAATTTATCCACGGGATAAATCATAGTATAAAAGGATGGACAGAAAGCATAGCTGAAAAGAGGATAAAGTGTTTAGTACTTTGGAAATAGTATCTAGTGCTAAACTTCTGATTACAAAGGTAGGAAATTGTTTTCCTGTGTAGAGCTTGGAATGGGGGGAGGGGAAGAGTTAACACAATAGTTTCTTCTTCAGTTTAGAATCAGGGAGGGAGAGAACACATCTTTGATGGGGCAGCCTCATCATTTAGCATCACCGTACCTCATTGTCCTTGCCCCACGGTATCAGTCGAGGTGAATGGCAATCAGCTTGTCATCATGAAATAGGTGGGGTGGACAAGTCTGGTTACAAGTATCTCTCCATATATTCTCAGAATGGGGAGCATGCTCTGAAGCCTTGAACTCTGCTTCCTCTTCTATCTTCTGGTGCTTCTTTCTGAACTCTGAGAACAATACCATCGCACACAGTTTATAACCTCAATAGCTAGTAGGATTCTGGGAAAGCATCTCTATCTTCATGGTTACCCTGACTCAGGACCAGATTTGGGCACAGGATTGCATGTGAACAGTCATATAAAGAAGTATACATTTTAAAAACATCAATTGTCTTTTAAAATTGTTGTTGTTTTAGGGCTCAAGGGAATAGAAAGTTTACCAAACAGTATTTAAATATAAATTAATGATAACATACAGTTCATTACTAGTACATACAAAAAGGATGCAAGAACATATGTGCCATTCAATTTCACTGCCATTCCTCCCCTCAATTCTCAGTTGTCTCTTATGGTTTCTGAGTGGCAAAACAATATATGTGGTAATTTCAAGAAATCTTAGAATTCCCCAGAATTATAGGCTGATCTCAGTAACAGCAATAACCTGGGGTAGCAGTACTATTTTATATTTATAAGGCCACATGAGAAAAAAAATCAACATTTATGTAGAACCTTAAAGTATGCCATGGTGTTTTTACCTAACTTATCACATTAGATCTTTGTAATACCCATTTTCAGGTATGTTCATTTTACCAAAGAAGAAACTGAGGCTTAGGGAGTGTAAATGACTTGCCTATTCCATTGTCACATAGTTAATGCCAGAGGTAGGCTTCAAGCCTGAAGAGGGTGAGAGTGACCAGATGGGATACAACTACAAGGACACTGCTTGGCCGCTTTAGGAGGTTCTATTCTCCATCTTTCCCACTCTTCTGGGCTCCATTTATTTTTCCTGAAAATGAATTATTTTGCTCTTCAGCCAGGCATCAGTGATGATTAAAGCTCTCAGTAGTTTGTCCTAGTAGAGAAATACTCTCTAGTATTCCTATCCCACTGCACTTCAGCATATGGGAGCCAAGATTGCCAATGGGAACGCCTACAGAAATAAGGTGTAGAAGATAGTAACAGACCGTTTCATTTAAATAACAACAAAGCTGTGTGGACCAGAGAATATTTGCAACATTGTAGCATTGAAAGCAGTCAGTAGGGGCAGCTAGGTGGTGTGGCCTTGGAGTCAGGAGAACCTGAGTTCAAATCCAGCCTCAAACACTCAATACTTACTAGCTGTGTCACCCTGGGCAAGTCACTTAACCCTGATTGCCTCTCCAAAAAAAAGAAAGTTGTGAGTTGCTCTGGTCATGTGTGATATCTAGGGTCAAGCATGTAGCTCCCATATATATGCCCTGGCCACATGGGCTTCTTTATGTAGTTTCCCTGGGTACTGTCATATGCATGCATATTCCTCGGTCACATTTGTGCCCTATCTCATTGGTGTGATAATCTGTGGAAGAGTATATCCCCTATATGATAAGAATCCTTTTTTGTAACCTAATTGGTTATGCTATATTACCTTATTTGAAATATGTATCCTTTGTAAAAGTATACTTCCCTATGCATTTCCCAACTCCTAAAGCTCCACAATATGAGACTAGATATTGAAAGCATTGCCAGATCTAAATTTCATCTATAAATTGAGGGAGCTGAACTAGATGACCTCTAAAGTTTCTTCTAGGTCTAAATCCTATGATCCTATTAGAAATAGTAGTGAAGGGAGCCAAGATGGTGGAGAAAAGTCAGAGACTTGCCTGAACTCTCCCCCAAACCCATTCAAACACCTTTAAGTTACAATACCCATTCATGTGAATTGTAGCTGGAAATAAAAGGGAAAAAAATGTGATCTTGAGGGCAGCTAGGTGACACAGTGAATAGAGCTCTGGCCTTGGAGTCAGGAGGACCTGAGTTCAAATCCAGCCTCAGACGCTTAACACTTACCAGCTGTGTGACCCTGGGCAAGTCACTTAACCCTGATCGCTTCACCAAAAAGCAAAAAAAAAAAAATGTGATCTTAATACAAGTCAAACGCTGAGTTCTGGTTCTATCACTGATTTCACCTATGTGTGAATAACCAATTCGACCTTTTTGCTTTCTGCTTTCCACAATTTAAAACATGATATATGTATAACTATATCTGATTGCTTACCATCTCAGAGAGGGGGGAAGGGGAAAGGGAAGGAGGGATAGAATTTGGAACTCAAAACTCAAATAAAATTATTTTAAAAATTGAGAAAAAATAAAAAAATAAAACATGGGGTAGGGTTTCCATTCCTCCTCAAGAAGATCTATGCTGTTAGTAAATTATTCATATTGCGCTCTATCCACTGTGCCACCTAGCTGCCCCAATTTTATTTTATTTTAATGGGTTCAAATGAGGAGGAGTATTCAAGGCATAGCTAAGGACTTGTGTAAAGGCAGAGAGACAGGAGACAGATTGTTAAGTCTGGACAGTTTGGTTGCAAGATAGAATGAATGAAAGAGCAATGTGAAATACATCTGAAAGTGTAGCCTGGAGCCAGTGTAGGCTGGAGCGAGTTTCTAAAGGCTCTAAATTACAACAAAGGGGTTTTTATGTTATATTAGAAGCAATAGGGGGCCACTCAAGGTTCATGAGCAGGGGAGTGACATGGTTAAACCTATACTTTAGGAAGATTTTTTTTTTCAACTGCATGGAGGATGAGTTCAACAAGAGAAAGGCTAGAAGCTAGCAGTCGAATTAGGAGGCTGTTGACAGTCCAAGAGAATTAATAGGGCTCTGAGCAAAGATTGTAGTTGTGTGTATGAGGAGAAAGATCCCCTATGGGTCTGTTTCCTAACCTATTACATAAGGGTGAGAGGCAGATTATATGATAGAAACCTATGATCTCATGCCAGTTTACAGTTAGAGACACTTTAAAGTTTACAACTTGCTTTGCCTTTATTATCACATTTTACCCTTAAACTATCATCATGACATAGATAGTGAAGCTGCAGAAAAAGTTAATAGCTTTACCATTTTGAGATGTAAATGTTGTATATCAAAGATGGTAAGCTTTTTGTGTGTGTGTGTGAGGCAATCGGGGTTAAGTGACTTGCCCAAGGTCACACAGCTAGTAAGTAGTGTCAAATGCTTAAGTCTGGATTTGAACTCAGGTCCTACTGACTCCAAGGCCAGAGCTCCATGGACTGCGCCACCTAGCTACCCCGTTGGTAAGCTTTTATATCCAAACTAAATGAAGAGCTAGAAAGGGCATTGTATCTGTGTTCACTTGCATCTTATTTAAAGTTTATATGAATCTTTTAGCAAATTCAAGATTTTGTAAAGTCTCAAACTTAGGTATATTTTAAAGCTAAATTCTATGCTAAATCAACAATAACTATTCCTATCTTTGTGATTTAATGACTCTTGCTGATTTTTAATCTCATAGGCAACTTAATATTTTAAGTTCCATTATAAATTTTTATGTTGTTTGCTCAAGCACACTCGTCTTAATTTATATATAACACAAAGCAATTCTCTTAAGTTAGCAGCGAGGTTTCTAGTTCTTTCTGCTCTGGTTGTTCAGCTGCAACCTTCAGACCAGGCTTGGGGCTGGGTCTGAGACCCCATTTACAGACATGCGGCTGCTTGCTCTTCTTCTTACTCTTTGCCCAGTACACTCTGTCAGGCCTAGGCCCTTTCCTTGCCCTGCTTTGCCACATATTCCTTTAGTCACAGCTTCTCGTCTCAGTCCATGCTGGATTGGGGACCCAGATCTGGGGGAAGAACAACAGAGCTACCAGTGGGCACCTATGCCTGCTCCCTGACCTCTTCAGGCACCTCTGTGTTAAAACCATAACTTCTTTTGCCCTAGTATGCAGTCCCAGGCTGGAAAGCTCTGTGTAGCCCCTTCTGGCTAGAAGACTGAGTCCCCAGTGTCAACCGGCTTGACTGTCTCCCTGTGCCGAA